ATTTGGTTTTATCAACACAAATTAGCCACCATAGAGAGTTCCTAAAGCTGAAATTTCAATCCGTAGCCCTTAATCTTTCACTCTGATGGAGGAGTGGTCAACTGAAATGACCTTTTCTATTCATCTATAGATAAATTTATTCATTTATTTTGTGTTTACTTGTTTTTCCATTCATTTCTTGGTTATTCATTTTAATTAATAAAAGAAGCTTAACCCTTTACACTTTAACATCAGCAAGCATATTCTCCATACTGTTCTCTACATGTTTTCTAAGTTGCAGAAAAGGAGAATTTGTTTAACAATCAACAGCTTCTTTAGTTGGTGATCATTTCCTTTATTCTCATGACCTTAAAGTGTGACTCAGGGGGGATATTGTAGGGAGAAATAGGATGTGAGTCACTCTTAGGGGGTTAAAGGGTTTTTTTGAAATAATGAAAAAGATACATAGAATGACACTTCACCTGGTGACAGACATCAAGAGAAGAAATGCTTTTTCCCTCACATCCTGTTCCAAGTGCTACAGGAAATCCAGGCTTGGATGAATTACTGGTAGTTTCAAGGACCACTTCTGCCTGGCCAAAAAAATTCAGTAATTGACTCAAAGGCAAAAATCATTCAACCACAATTTGTTAAACATACAAAAGGTTTCCACTATTCAAAATAAACATTTATTTTCAATTGCAATAATTGGTTTTAGGCCAAAATGGATAAATTAGTTTCTCTGTTAGGGATCATGGAAATACAGTAAATTATTTTAGATCTGAAACAAAGAAAACACAAACCCAAATACATCATTTTGAAGTGAATGAAATGAACAGCAACATGGTTACATGGAATCAATTTCTCTTCCCAGACATTCTGTTACCTTCATATGAAGATGAGGAAGGGTGGATGATAGATCATGCTCCTCTTGTGGAGGCAGCATCATAACTTTAAGTCTTGCATCATCAGTTACAATAATAAGTTCTGTTATGAAGACCAGAGAAAACTTAATTACTCATCAATAAACTGCAAGTTCTATCGATTTATGGGTGTGTGGGATGTTAGAAGAACATGAAAAATGTTTGTAAGTCATGAGCCAGAGGTGAGTGATTAAAAACTTTGTTAGTGGGCAATTAGGGTGCTTGCAGTATCTCAGTCATTGTAAAATGATCACATATTTCC